CGTGCAGGGTTGTAAGCATGTGGCATGTGGTTAGCACCTGTGAGGCACATTGGCCACCGTCCCTTAGCTCCCGTGAACTGATAACCAGGCAATCCCTTTTAGGACTGGCAGTTCCAGCCACTGACGCTAGGTGGCGATAGTTCTCAAGCCAGTAGTTCTCAAAGTTGCGTCCTGACCCTGCAGCCTCAGTCCCCCTGGGAACTTGTTAGAGCCCCCCATCCTGGGCTGCACCCCCACATCTATACCCAGATAACAAGCGCACAGGCTCCGGGGTCTGCCTGGCCTGGCCTGCGTGGTGACTCTCCCACCCCTCAGGGTGACTGGGTAGGATGGGGAGGGGGCTGGAGACAGTAATGGCCGCTAACTGGCTGAGTGTGCTCATGCAGAGCAGGCCCCTTGCTTCTCTGAGGCGTGGCTGAGACGGCCCATCTGATCAGCCTTCCACTCCGTCCTCCTCAGTGATCCGTCCTCCCTGCCCTGACTCTAGCCACACTGTGCCCTCCTCCACGGCCCCTAGTCTTTGTTCTTTTGAACCTCAATTTCCTCTTCAGCTTCCTTGACACCTCTAAAATGGTTTGCTCTTCTTGCAGCTAGAAATATCAATCAGCTTCCTGGAGCCAGGTAGGGAAGGCGGGATCAGATATAGCTCTGGCTTGGGAAAAGACCAACGACTGTTAGCCACAATGGAATCCAAGTCCCAAGAGAAGGAGGAAGTAGTCTGTGGCTAGTCCTGTGTGGTTGTAGTGAAGGCCCCCAGCTCAGTGTTCTTGGGCAAAGAATAAAGGACATCTCTGTGTTTCAGGACCCATGCTCTTCTGGGTGATCATGGTGCTGGTTCTGGTGGTTGGTTCCACCTTCTTCCTCCTGTGTCACCAGAGGGCCTGTAGGAGGCGATTTCGGCAGAGTGAGTGGAGGTGTCCTTGGGGACCTGGGAAGGATGCTTGCTCTGGGCCAGCTTGGCCGGGGTCCCTGCCTGTCCCGCGCTCTGGGACCAGTGCCCAGCCCTCTTCCTGATGTCATTTCAGAGCTCCACCTGTGCCACCCAGCCCAGCCCTTCCCGCCCAAGCTGGAGCCTGTGGGTAAGTGTCCCACAGCGCCCCCTGGGTCTGGGCTCGGGAGACTGGCCTCCTCCCAGCCCAGCCCTGGCCCATCTGTACGGCCTCCGGGGGCCGCCCCTCCTTTCTCTCCAGCCTCGTCTCTAATGGGGATGTAACGTGGGAGAAAACTGGTTGTGGGTTGGGCTGGGGCTCTGGGTTGTGCGGGGCGCTGGTGCGGACCAAGCCACCGCGTCTCTCACCCTCCCGCCTGGCCCCCCTGTCCTGACTGCCCCCCTTCCTGCCCTCCTGAGCAGACCCTGGTGGGGCCCAGGTGAAGAGGGCAGCCTGCAGGCCGAGCCCAGCGTCCACCCCTTACAGCCCCCCCCCCCCCCGTGGCCTTGGGGAGTTGCCTAGTCCTGTGCCTCAGTGTCCTCGCCTGTGAAGCGGGGACAGTGGGGCCCACTGGGAAGGCCGCGTGGGAGGGAATCGAGTGGCCTCCTGAGCACTGCGGAGCCCAGGCCCACGGGCAGCACTCGGTTGATCGCTGGGGCCTCTTCCCACAGGAGTCCAGGCCTCCCGGGTCCCAGGTGGCTTGACCCCTCCCTGGTCCCTGCTCTTGTCGCCACCCAACCTCTAGGCTGACCTTCCAGGCAGCAGTCAGGGCTCCTGACCCCTCCCCCCAGGCCCAGGCAGGGTTCCTGCAGCTTTCACTGGGACCGGGGTCACCTCGTGCCCAGGGCCCCCTGGGTCATCTCGTACCCAGGGCCTCGTCTCCCTGGGCAGCCTCTCTGGGCGAGGTCCTCCTTAGCACTCCATAGGCATCAGCTGAGCACCTACTGTGTGCAGGGCCCTGACTCTTGGGCTCTGCATAGACTGGGGAATTGCCTTGCTTCCTGGCTTATGAGGCAGCTTCTGGTGACCTGGTGGTGGTCGATCCACAGGGAGGAGATGAGGCTCGGAGGGTGGGGGACAGCTGGCCGGGGCACTGCTCCTTGGGAATTCTGTCCAGCTGCTGTAGGGGCCTCAGCGCTTCCTGCTGCTTCCTCCCCTCAGCTCTGTCCACCACCCAGTGCCCACCCAAGAGCCCAGTGGTCTAGAGACACAGCCACTGCCCCTGTCCCAAGAGTCCCCCAGGACCCTTGGGAGCCTGGCAGTGGGCCGACTCTTGACCTGGGCACAAAAACACGGTCCGCCGAGGCTGTTTTGAATCCGCTGAGTTTCCGACGTGAGCTGCGCTCCCTCTGCAGGGGCTTTTTGTTTTGGTGGTTTCAAGCCTGTTTCCGTGAGCTGTCGGGCTCCGTGTCGCATTGAAACTGCCATTTGCTTTCTTGACATTTTTCTAGTATTAGACTTTCCATTGCCGGCAGTTTGTTTTCTTCTTTTAAACCTTTGTGAGAGCAGTTTTGTTACAAAAAGAAAAAAAAAAAAAAAAAAGGCCCAAAGACACCTCCCTTCCCTTAAGAGGCCAGACCTGAGGACCTGAGCCCAGACTCAGCGGGGGACAGTCTGACTCAGGCCCTTTCTGGCCCCCTGGCTTCCTGTGGGTCCCCCGGGTCTGGGTAACCAGGCCCGAGAAGGGAGGGGTCGGCAGGCAGCAGGACACAGGTGGGCACAGACAGCGGGCGCCACTCCAGCCCCCGGCCCAGGAGCTGCGGAGGAGCCCCCTGATATGCTCGCCGTCCGTCCATCCTGGAGCAGGCTCTGTGAGGGACAGCATCTGTCCTGGCTCTCCAAGCTTTCAGACCAGTGTCACTGTGGGGATGGGCCAGAGAGGAGTGGATGGGACTGTGCTTCCCCCCCCACCCCCAGGCACATCGGGGACTTCTCCAGGGGCGCTCTCCTTCCCTGGGGCTCACGCTCCATCCCTGAGTGGCCTCGACTGTACTGCCCGTGTCCCGGTGACAGGCATTGGCACAGCACACCCTTGATCTCCTTTGACACCTGCAGCAACCTGTGAGGCACCTACTCCCTGCAGATGAGCAGCCCAAGGTGCAGGAAGACGTGGTCACCTTGCTGAAGGCCACGTGCTTAGCCAGTCCCAGGCTGGTTTTTTGGGGATTTTTAGTTGTAGATGGACGCAACCTTTATTTTGCTTATTTGGTTTTTTATGTGGGGCTGGGGATCCAAACCCAGCGCCTCAGGCATGCTAGGCACGCGCTCGGCCACTGAGCCCCAGCCCCAGCCCCCAGGCTGGGTTTCTGATGTCACCCTCAGTGCCACAGAGCAGATGATTCTTTGCTGTGGGGACTCTTCTGCACGTCATAGGATGTTCAGCAGCTCACGAGATGACAGTCACATCCCCCAGTTGTGACAACCAGAAATGTCTCCAGATATTGTCACTAGGCCCCCCTGTGGGCAAAACTGCTCCTGGTTGAGAACCCCAGGTGTAAACCTCTGTGTTAATGAGCCTCCTCCCTCCCTCCTGGGCCAGTTTCTGCCTCTCTCCGTCACGGTCACCCCAGGCGCTCAGGAAGGGTGCAGGCTGGGGACCCAGCAGATGCCCGACTTGGAGATTGTCTGGGGTTTGCTGTGAGTGGGTCAGGCCTTGGGCTGGAGGATGTCAGAAGCGATGCCGGCCTTCCAGGGCATCCTGCTGGGCCGCCACCTGCCCCTTCCTGGAAGCCGAGGTCGGCCAGGCCTCTCCCCTGTGAGATTGTGTCAGCAGCCAGTTCTTATCAGGTTTCGTTTTCTTCATTTGTACATTTATATCCAGATGGATTCCTGGATTTCTGTTTGATTCAACGTGCTGTCATCTGTCATGATCTGTTAGTTACCACCATTGTAACAGACTGCGAGGTCACTGGCCCAGACTGGGCAGCCCCCTCAAGCTGGCTCCTGTGTCCTTGTGTGACATGCCCCCCATCTCTTAGTGATTTGGACACTTTTTTAGGGGGAGAGAGGGTACTGTGGATTGAACCCAGGGGTCTACCACTGAGCTACATCCCTGAATCTTTATTTTTTATTTTGAGGTAGCAGCTTGCCAGGTTGCTGAGGCTGGCCTCCAACTTGCAATCCTCTTCCCGAAGCCTCCCGAGTCACTGGGATTATAGGCCTGTGTCACTTCTTTTTTTGTTGTTGTTACTTGAACTCAGGGGCACTCGACCACTGAGTCACGTCCCCAGCCCTATTTTGTATTTTATTTAGAGACAGGTTCTCTCTGAGTTGCTTAGTGCCTCGCTAAATCGATGAGGCTGGCTTTGAACCTGGAATCCTCCTGCCTCAACCTCCAGAGCTGCTGGGATCATAGGTGTGCGCCACTGCGCCCGGCATCACTTATAAGAAACTCCTGGCTGATCTTGTCCCCTCCTCCCTGAACCCCTCCTGGGTCATCTCTCCAAGGAGCTCCAGGTGTGGACCTAGGGACGCCTGGCACCAAAGCCTGGCGGGGCCTCTACGCCTACTCCTTCCTCGGGGCTGCAGGAGGACTGTGACAGGGACGGGAGGGACCCAGAGCTCTGACACCTGAGTCAGGACTCATTGTGCTCTTGGCGCTCGGCCCACTGAGCGAGCAGCCTTGGGATGCCACGTTCTTGTCCCCAGGTCACTGCTGCACAGTGTGACCTGGGCTTGGCCCCCGGAGGTTTTCTGGGAAGATCGTGGTTATTCCAAAAAGCAAGGAAACCGTAACTGAGCCAGACTGAAGCTTTGTGAAATCTGACCTCTGCCCTCGGCAGGATTTGCTTTGGGTCTTTATCAAAGCACTTGTGGGTTGTCACAGGGCTGCAGGTAGAGGCCAGAACCTTCTGGATCCTGCCTTGTTACCTTGTGTCATTTGACACTTGTTTTCAAGCGTCTTCGGTGTCACCTGCTGGTCTGTTTTTCCGCGAGGTTGAGGCCAGCCGTGTCAACACCCCAGGCTTTGTGGGACCCACTGTGTGCCAGCAGCAGCCTGGCACTTTCCCTTGGTCACATTTTGATCAGGAAAAAAAAAAAAATTCTGAATGCACTTCACTTTTTGGAGGAGCTTTAGATTTATGGAACATTGAGAAGGTGGCTCAGGGTACTCCGAGCCCCCCACAGGATGGCCTCCCTGCTTAGCATCTCACACAGTGTGTCCTTTGTCACTGTAAACAGTGGCGTGGTCTCCTTGTTGTTAGTGACACCCACACTTCATCACACTCACTTGGCTCATAAGGTGCCACCACCCCCACCTTTAGTCCTCTCATCGCCTCCCTCCGGTGGCCCAAGGCTCAGGCTTTCCTTGACCTTGGTGGCCTCGGCAGTTTGCAGGCGGTGGCCAGGCATTCTGCAGGATGTCCCCGTCGCTGGGCTTGGTCTGATGTTTTTCTTGCAGCGAGACTGGGCTCTGGGTGTGGGGGAGGAAGTTCACAGAACAGAGGGCCACACCCAGGGTCCAGGGGCTTGGTCTGACTTAGCCCCGGTCACTGTAGGCTGAGAGCCGCCCCAACCTTCATCAAACCTTCAGGGGCTGGTAGGTCTGTCCCACTTTCCAGATAAGGAGACCAGGCTCAGAACAGTGAAGTAAGCTGCTGCCGTCCGCCCAGGTGGCCCCGCGGGGTGTTTGGCTGCCTTTCAGGTGTTTGTTAAGTACCCGCTGTCCTCTGCCTTCTGGTTCTCTTTAGGACTTCCTGAGGGTGTGGTCCCCAGAGAAGGTCAGTTGGGCCAAAGGGCTGAGGTTCACCACAGACGGCTCTTAAAAAGATGAAACCCTTTGGGCATGGTGGCCCCCACAAATCCCAATAACTCGGGAGGCCGAGGCAGGAGGATTGCAAGTTCAAAGCCAGCCTCTTCAATTTAGCGAGGCCCTAAGCAACTCAGCAAGACCCTGTCTTTAAATAAAATATCTTAAAAAGGGGTTGGGGGTGTGGCTCTGGGTTAAGCACTCCTGGGTTCAGCACCTGGTGCCCAAAAACCAACCAACCAACCAATCCGTTCACAGGGCATGGGCATCTCTGAGAGCCAGCTGGCCACCTCCTCCCCAGGCCGAGTTGGTTGCTTCTGTTTATTTTGTCTTGTTACTTCGGTACACACTTTTTCTCCTGGCCCTCCCCAAAGCCTTGGCAGCAAACATCAGCTGGCTGTTTACGAAATTCCAGATTACTCTCAGGAGAGAGATTGGGCTCCGTTGACATCATTTTTTAAAATATGCCTGAGGCCAAAGAGTATCAAAGTCGTGACTTGGCAGAGGATGGCATCCCCCTCAAGGTCCCAAGCTGTGACCTCCGGATGTGACACCCCCCACCCCCACCCCTCCCCCCAACAGCAGTTACCAGGAAGATACGTCGGTGGGCACGTGGGCTACATTGAGGCTCTGCCTCGTTATCTTTGAGCCTCAGTCTGGCCCATTTCCCCGTCAGACGCGGTCCACTGCTGACGGGCTTGTACACGAAGCCCCAGGAGCGCGTCCTAAAGCCACCGAGGGTCCTGCTGCACGGCCACACTGCAGTCAGATTGGCATTTTGTCTCGTTGGCTGGTTGGTTGGCCTGCACAGACGTGTCGGCGGGGATTCAGGGCTGCCGGGTCCAGAAAGCGTGTCCTAGCGGCAGCGGGCTGACCTCTAGGCAGGTGGGCCCACTGCACAGGCCTGACAGCACGTTCTGGGTCTCTGCGGGTGGCCTCTGTGGGATCCTTCAGGGCTGTGCTGGGCCTGGGTGGCCTGCTCTGTCGTGGACTCGATGGCAGGTGCCCCCCTGTTTTTCTTAGCTGGCCAGTGGGCCATTAAGTGTCAGGAGATTTTCAGCCATGACCCGGCCCCTGGTTCACGAGGGAGAACACCAGAGCTGGGGGCCCTTTAGATGAGGAGGTAAGGGTTGTGCCTGAGCCAGGTGCAGTGGTGCACGCCCACCATCCCAGTGACTTGGGGGGGGCTGAGGCAGGGGGATCAAGGGTTCAAAGCCAGGGCTGGGCTTGGGGCTCAGCGGTAGAGCGCTCGCCCAGCACGCGCAAGGCCCTGGGTTCCATCCTCAGCACCACATAAAAATAAGTAAATAAAATAAAGATATGTGTCCAACTACAACTAAAAACTAAATATTAAAAAAAAAAAAAAAAGTTCAAAGCCAGCCTCAGCAACCTGGTGAGGCCCTGTCTAAAAAAATAAAAAGGGCTGGGGTGTGGCTCAGCGGTAGAGCATCCTGAGTTCAACCCTTAATACCCCGCCTCACACACACAAAACCAAAGTCAAGGTCATGCCCAAGACTCACTGTTTGGCACCTCCTGAGACCACACAGGGTGGCTCGGGAGGAAGTAAGCCACTGTCCTCCCCAGGCCGGCAGCCCGGGCTCTTTCAGGCACATGGAAGACGAAGTGGATCTCGGAAAGGTCCTGGGGGGAGCTGGCTCCAGGAGCCTCCGTCAGGGCTAAAACCCTCAGGGTCCATTGTCCTCCCTGTCCCTTGCCTTGAGGTCCTCTAGGGGGCTCTGCAGGGCACTCTCAGGATTCTGGGCTGTCCAGCCCCTAGAGGCTGCAAGGTGGTGGCAGCAGCCACAGGCACCTTCTGGCCAGCAGAAGCCTCCTGGGCTCGGGTTGGGGCGTGTGCTCCCCCTGACCAGCCGTTGTGCCTGTTGGGGTGTGGGGAGTCGGGCAGGGTCCAGTGTGCTAATTGGCTTAATCCCTCCAAGTGAGAGTAGTGTGGAGGGGAGGTCCCCTGGGGTCCCCCAGGTCTCCAACTCAGCTGAGCATTGGGAGGTGACCTGACCCTGAACCCGCCACCATGCTCCAGACTGAGGGCCTGAGCCCTGGGCTGGGAGTCAGCACCGCCCACCTACCTTGCGGGAAAGCTGACAGGTATGGGGGGGGGGGTCGGTGGCCGCCCCCTCCTGGCTGAAGCTGCTGTTCTTTGCTTTCTGCAGATTCCAGACCCAGGAGGAACCTGGCAGTAAGTACCTCCCCATACCTCACCCAGCCCCTGGGTCTGACCTTTCCCATCAGCCTGTGGGTTTGAGGGCCGCGGGGGAGGGTCGTTCCCTTCTCTCCCAAGTGCCCAGAGTTGGGCCCCTTCGGGGAGCACGGAGCCTGGCAGGCCGGGCCAGGGACGAGGGCTCCACCCACAGCAGCCTGGGCTCCTGGCACAGCCGCAGGGGATTTCCAGAAGGGCTTGCATCAGGACCGTCGGGTCAGGAGAAGGGCTCGGCGTCCCACTGTCCTCCACTCCTGGGTCTTGAAGACCTGAAGCTAGATGGCAAACCAGCAGCACAAACTTAAACTCGCCACCTACTGAGCACTGGCTGCAAGCCGGCCACCTGCTTTCTAAAAGTGTCTCGGGTGCTCGTGACCCTCAGGAGCTGCTATGTTGTCCTGTTTCACAAAAGGGACACAGTGGCCTGGACAAGTTAAGAGGCTACTAGTCAGGGCTCCATGAGGGCTTGAGCCTGGCTTTGTGTCTCCTGAGCTGCCTCCGAGGGGGAGGTCCCCTCATTCCTTAGGAAGTGCTCTCCATGTGCCCTGCGCTGGGCTGGGGCCTTTGTCACCACTCCCGCAGTTCTTCCAGCCACCAGTACAGGGGGCGTCTGGGGCCTCGCTAGGCTTGTCCTGGTGCCCCGTCCTGGGCCCAGCTTCCCAGGGCTGTGGGGACGTGAGGTAGGGCGCTGGTCTCGGGAGCTGGCGGAGGGGCGCTGGCTGAGACGCTTGGATACAGTTACTCGGTTCCTCTGTGCCTTGGTTTCCTCATTGTTAAAGGGGCAGGTGCTGAAATCCCGCTCCTCATGGGATGGTTGGGAAGATCGACTAGAACAGGGCTCTGCACACAGTGGGTACCGTGTGAGTCGCTGACTGCCATCCTTGTTATTTGGTACGAATTAAAAGCTACCATGGTGCCTGGGATGCTACGCACAGCACTCCCTGGAATGCTTGTGGTAGCTTTTTTTTTTAACATATATTTTTTTTAATATTTATTTTTTAGTTTTAAGTGGACACAATATTTTTATTTTACGTTTATGTGGTGCTGAGGATCGAACTCAGTGCCTCAAGCATGCTAGGCAAGCGCTCTACCCCTGACACACAACCCCAGCCCCTGCTTGTGGTAAGGTTTAAAGCAGAGGGGAGACTCCCTGGAGGTTTTAGGGGTGAAGAAAAGAGGGTGTCACCATTTGGGGACATGGGGAGTTGGGATGCCCTGCTCAGCACCCATTCCCTTCCCACAGCAGCCCAGAAGTGCATTGGAGACCGAGCCCAGCACAGAAGAAAAGAGCTTTGTGAGCCCCCCGGCTGTGGAGACCTGTGTCAGTGTGGGGGCAGCCTGCCCGGAGAGCCTGCCCCTGCTGGATTCCAGCCCAGGCGGGGCCCCCTCATCCCCCAGGGACCCCCCTGAGCCCCGAGTGTCCACAGAGCACACCAATAACAAGATCGGTGAGTCAGCCTGTTTCAGGGTTCCCCGTGTGGCTCGGGGAGCTGCGGGGAGCTGGGTGCTGGATTCTGGGTGGAAACTGGAGACCCTAGGACCTCGAGGTCCACCGGGAAGGACAGGATTCCCCTGCATCTTGCTCTGCGGCTGCCCCGTGTGAGTTCTGCTAAGGTAGAATGGCTATGGGTTGGCCTCCTGGAACCACCGGGGACTTGAGCATAGATTCCTGAGCACAATGTCTGCTATCGTTAAAGGAAAGATGATATGAAGGCCACCCCAGCCCCCCACCCAGAGACAGGAGTGGAGGTGCCCGTGACCCTGAGACCTGCCACTTGTTTGGCACATGTCTTTGCCTCTTACTGTCATGACACCTTCTGGGGACGGTGTCCTTCTCCCCATGTTACAAAGGAGGAAGCTGTGGCTTAGCCCAGTGAGGTCCTTTTGCCTCTCCTATGGCTGAGAAGGATGCAGCTGGGCCTCAACCTGCATCTGCTGGGCTCTGCAGCCCTTGGCTTGTCCGCTGGCCTCTGCAGAAGCACAGAGACCATGTTGGGCCAGGGAACCCAGCACTCCCCAGCTGTGGCTGCCCTTGAGCTTGGACAAACTTGCTGCTGGCCTGGTACAACCAGAGCACTTCCCCCAAAGTATGTACCTGCCCAGATTCCACCCCTGCTCAAACCCTGCCGCACTCCCCGTCCCCTTCAGCACAAATCTGGGGCTCTCAGTTGGCAGTCAAGCTAGCCCCTCCCTACCAGACTCACCTACTGGACCCTGCTGGTCTGCCTCCCACTTCATGGTGGTTTCCAGAACTTTCAGACCTGTCTCACCTCTGAGCCTCTCTGCAAGGAACAACCAACTCCCCTCCCTCAAGTCCAGTAAATTCCTGAGGCTCCTCTTCCAGGAAGCCCTCTCTGCCCTCTCTGCTCTACGGAGTAGGCCAGGTGTCCCTCTGCTGCCTACCCTGAGACCTTGGGCTCTTCCACCCAGGGGCCCAGCACCCAGCCTGGGCCTTCCCCGCCTCTACCAGGTGGGAGCTCCCCGGGGCAGGCCTCGGTGGGCCCCCTCTCCTCCTTCTCTGGGAGGGAAACTGACCCTCAGATAATAGCAGAGAGCATTTGATGTTCTGCCCATTTCCACGGCAGGCCCCGGTGGGAGAACTTCAGGGCAGTATTTCCTCTTGAACAAACTTTTGCAATCACAACTTTCAGGAAGTTTTCTTTGAAAAGAATGTGTTTGGGGGAAATGCCAAAGGCTTCCCCTTCAAATTTCCTGAGAATCAAGTCCTCGTTGGAATGTTCAAGCCCACGCTGAGCAATCCTGGCTGGAACTCGGGGCCCAGGGAGCCGAGCGAGGGAGGGGAGGGCCGGCTCTCCCCAGGTTCCGGCTGCTCTAGTCCGTGGGCCGCCTTCCCCAGCAGCCCGCTGGCCTCACTGGCGTGCAGCGGGGTGGGCCACACTGCCAAGGGAAGGCCTTGGAGCTTCTCCTGGACAGCAGGACATAGATGACCCCTGTCCTTCTGATGCCACCCCAGCTTCCTGTCTCCTCCTGGGTACCAGGCATGGGGGCCCCCCCTCCCCTGTCCAAGACAACCCCCTCAGAGCCCTGGGTGGGCAGGAAGAACCCCCCACAGCTGGAGGTGGGCAACCCTGTGATGGGGCAGAGCCAGAGGGACCAGGCCTAGTGACATGTAAGGGGTGACAGCTTGGTCCCAGCTTTGGCTGCTTCTGTCCAAACCAACCACTCTTCCCCGACGTCCTATCTTCCCGCCTCTCCTCTCTCCTGCTGTCTGCCCTCTGCCCTCCCTTCTGTCGCCACCTGGGGACCCCTTGCACACAGCCTCCGGCCCCTGTGGTCAGTGCTCCCCAGGCGGGGGGCCCACAGGCGTGGTGGAAGGCGGAGGCTGGGGCACGAGGCCAGCTGCCTGCTCTGGGGCTTGGGGCGCTCCGCGGTCCCCTGTTCCCCGCCCTCTGGTTCTCACCGTTCTTTCTAACACTTCTCTCTCTCCTGAGCTTGTAAAAACCCAAAATAGAAGAGCTGTGTTATGCAACGGGCCGAGGACGCAGGGTCCTTGAGAACCTTTCTGGGGTTCCTAAATCTGATGGGTGTAACCGGGTCACCCAGGAGGCAGGGGTCCCTGTACCCCTGTGCCACCCCACCCCTGCTCTCAAGTTCCCTCTCGAGTTTCCTCATTCAGCCTCCAGAGTCTAGTGGGGGACAGCTGGAGCTGGGCCCTGGCCGGAGCCTGAGGCCATCGACCTGCCTTCCCAGCCTCTCGGGACCTCACCTCCCCGAGCCTCCGTGTCTCCATCCGTGAGAAGCCCAACTGGAAACCCCCACACTAGCCAGGGGCCTGTGCCGGGTCCTCATCCAAGTGATGATGACCCAGACCCACTCTGCCTGTAGGCCACGAGGCCACGGAGAGATGGGCCCCAAGCAAGACACTCCAAGACTGCCCCCACTGAGGCTATCCAGGTCACCAGCTGCTGCTGATTAGCAGGGCCAAGGCCGTTGTCCGTGCCTCCAGCTGGCTGGGTTTGCGTGGC